TCTTCATCCTTGACACAGATGGATTCGTGAGAGATGATCTCGAGCAATAGATTCTTTGGTAAATCACTCACTTTACATCTTGTGGAATTTTCTTGTAGGATTCCGTCTGCATTCACATTTTTCATCAGTTCATGTCGGGAAACGATGGACACTTTGGGTTTGAACATTTTATTCCCCTCCATGTTATCAGCTACTTATGATGATAAACGCTTGAGAGACTCGGTCATTTTTGGGGGGTATGCTGTTACCGACTTTGAGAAAAAGCTCTCTGTGATGATACCAATGGTGGATTGGAGACCAACTGTGTCGCAAAAAGATTTGGGCTTTCTTTTTTATATGATTTTGCATGACTATCGTGAGAAGCAGCACATGCCCCTGTTGACACAGGTGTTGGTCAACTGGTTCACAATAGCCATGCAAAACGGATGTTTCTGACAAAGGCCCACCCAAGAGGGAAACCCATCCCTCCTGTTGACACAGCTGTTTCCATTCAACAGAGCTGTTTGCTCAGTCAACTGGCGTGTCCGCTACAACCCATTTCACCTAACTCCTAACACATCACCCCTGTTGGCACAGCTGTTTCCCTTCATCAAATTTGTTTGCTCAGTCAAAAGGTGTGTCCGCTACAACCCAATATTCCTAACACGCCCCTGTTGACACAGCTGTTTCCATTCACCAGATTTGTTTGCTAAGTAAACAGGCGTGTCCGCTACAGACGCAGGTGCTCAGTCAACAGGCGTGTCCGCTACAACCCAATACTCCTAACAGACCGCCCGTTGAAACAGCTGTTTCTATTCATCAGATTGTTTAAAAACAAGAGTTTTATGCATTAAAACTGAAACATGCTTGTAACCGTGAGACATGATTTTTTTCATTGAAAAATGTTGACATGTGAAAGGATATCGTATAAAATTTCTTGAAACTACGTTATTTCACTCTATTTTTTCTCATGAAAAATCATTCTTGGTATGGGTTAAACGAGTATTTTTCCATTGAAATAGGAAACTGAATCGACATTTTGAGGTGAAGGTGAGGTGAAATTGGGTTTAACGTCGCGTCCAAGATTATTGCACTTATATAGCGACGTGCATGCTGGTGTATGTGTGTGTGTGGCTGCTTGTACTAGTCCGGACTGATGCTGATTTATAGTGCTAGCTCACTGAGATACCATGCCGCAGTTTAACATGAATACCCCACTCAGACACAGTATACTGACTCTGAGCCGACCAGTCCTTGTTTTAGCCCCTTAATGCCGAGCGGCAGACAGGGTAACAACAAGTACCATCTTTTAACGTCTTTTTGTATGACGCGGCCCGGGATCGAACCCCGGACCTTCCGCTCTCCGGGCGGACGCTCTACCACAAGACCACGGAGGCGGTCCGACATTTTGAACTCAAACATCTTTTAGAAAAAGGAATATAATTTTACAGTATTAAAACGTCATATACCAGACTGGCATACATTACAGTCTTCAACACACGGGTTTCCTGATACCGACTCTATATTTCTCCGAGCTGACCTCTAGGAGTCAAGACTGTTAACCCTTATTTTTTTATATAGTTGTCATGGCAACTGAATGTTACAGGGAACTTATAAAAGGTAACACTAGAAGAATTAAGAACTGGACATGTGGTTTCTATGGAAATTCAACTCACACCCCTCTTTGCCACATGTGACAGTCATTACTACGCAAAATACATGCATCAATGGCATATGTCTAACAATGACATTCCTTTCCCCGTGAATCACATTTGAACCTCGTAGTAGCCACTTCCATATAGGGACACTCATTACTACACTTTGTTCTCACTTAATGAAGGAATCATTAACACACTGCATTCGTGCATTGGAACAACAGACCTCTCATTAGCCTTTCTGAACTGTGACGTCATGATTATATTTGACTATGAATGAGTTATTGCACTTACGGATCAACTTAGTCTAAGATCGCTTTGTGGAACGGGGGCCCATAGAACTGACTTGTAGGTTAGGCGCGAGATTCAAACCGAGGTCACGTGACGCCCGTCAGCGTTCATTGCAACGTCCGCCATCTTGTTTTTTAGACACGTGTTGTTCTACGTTTAACGAATGGTCAATTAATTAATTGCAGGATTGCATCGGATCAGTTGACCCTTAATGAAGGTAATTGAATATCGGGAGATCTTTCTACATGAACCTGTTCCTGGGCTTTTAAATATTACCACACATAGCCCGCCACCGAATGTGCATAGGGAAATGTCTTCAATGCAAAAGGTTCAAATGTTCACCACATGTTCTCGCGCCAAAATGTACACACAATGACATTCCATTCCGCGTGAGTCAAGACCCAACCCAACCCGGGTCGTAGTAACATGTCCATATGGGGACATTCATTTCTATCCCGTGTTCTACGGTTAACGAATGGTCAAGTCATTAATTGCATGATTGCATCTGGTCAGTTGACCCTTTATTAACCTAATTGACCTGTGACGTCATGCATACATTTGCATATTAATGAGTCATTCTGCATATTAATGAGGCAATGACGTTGACAACACACACCCCTACCCCCAAGGTCAAGGTGATGTGACGTCATCAGTCACGTGAGGTTACTAGGTGCACTGACGTCATCAAATGAGGATGTGAGGATGGATACTTCTTACTTATTATCTACTCATAATGATTTTAAAGTTGTGATCCCAAGTGGTAGGAGGCTGCTCACGATATTTTGGTCCATATTTGAATATCCGGCGAAGGTTGTTATTGTCAACAATAGAGAAGTGACCTGTTATTACATGACCTACAGGTTGGAAGCAGAATGATGAGTCTTGGAAGCCACAAGTAGTGGAATTTACATCATGAGCTGCCAAGGCCACGTTCTGCAACACTTTCCCACAATGAACAACCTGTATGAAATGGTGTTCGTATTGGAAAAGTGAAATTGTTAGTGGTTCCTAAAATTTGAAATATTGTTTCACATTTTGAGAAACTTATTTTTGACTGAGAAGGTTACTTTAATTTAAGGCATCAGTACCCTTGTTTGCACATTTCAAATTCAAGAACATGCGATCTTTGTCTGATTTAGTCGAGTCTGTTTCTGGTTTGGCCAGTATCAATAATTATAATCTCTAGTAGATGTTTTAGGCTCCTGCTGTTAGTAGACCTACCCATCCGAAATAAATGTTGGAATCGTTTATTTTCTTTCAATCACACAAACCATAGTCTTGTTATTACTTTCTCGTTTACTGATAGTTTTTTTAAAGGATATTGAATTGTTTGAACATTTTTGATTGATATGTTTTGCATAAACACAATGTTTTAAATTTGGTAGATTTAATTAATAACTGCGATTGTTAGTGGCTGTATCCTCAAAGGGGGTTAAGGTACTGTAAAATTATTGTCCCCCTGAGAGGATATGTAAGTTCCACATCTTTAAAAGTATATTGAGAACTACCACGTTTTTAATCGTATAATATGTGTCATCTTAATGTGTTAGGCTAACTCTGCCAATAATCTCCACCACTTGAAGGGATGATGTAAATCCTGATGGGGTCCATGCAGGAAGCAAAAGTACTGTAAGTCCCCATGGTCCCTAGTATGGTGATCTACCTTCAATTGTTGAAGATCTATAGCCCTTTTATATTTTGTATCGTTATATATAGTGCTTTTCTTTTTAATGATTCCGGACTAGTTTCATAACTTTTTCTGTGATAAGTCTAGTAATTTTACTGTCCTTCGTTGGCAGGTTTTTATATAAGTCCAATTGTATTGATTTTGCTTAACTATTGATAGTCACGATATGGCTGAAATATTGCCGATGAGACTCACTCACTCACTTGTTCTTACTTTGTGCAGTCCCAATGATTCCTCAAGGAGAGGCAACAAATCTTCCAAATGAATGGTATGATTTGTCCCTTCTTTTCTTTTGACCATACCTGCGTCTTTGGGATGACTCAATACACTGACGTTGACAATTCGTTGGTTAAAAAGACTGGCAACGTCTTTTATTTTGTCATTACATCCATATGGGATTGCTGTACACAACAGACGAATCCAATGATCTTCTCAGGATGGAGTGATTTTCAGAATTGAAATGTTGCTAGACACAATTGGAAACATTACTGTTACTGTTGATGCCGGATCTATGCCGGCTGACTCGTGTCTCCCTTTCCGTATTCGTAAGAAAGTTCTGCCAAACACCGAGTCAAGAGAAAGAGAGAGAATTGTAATTTTAAATTTCCAAAATTTGATGGATTAGTGACCAAATCATATCCGATGCAATTCTCTACTTTCACCAATACCATACTTTCCCGTGTGTTTTTGTCAGGTAACACTTGACTTGCATTTGCATGTATTTGTGACGGGTGTCAACGGTGGGACAGAATGGAATCATTACTATTTCAAAGTGATTCACAAACACATGATGATGTCCATTTGTTGTTAGAAGCTCATGAAATCTCTCTAAAAGTTAGATACTGAATGTTTTATGACAAATTTTAAAATACAAAAGACTCTAACATCGTATCTCTGTGACAGCAATGGTATTTGCACAAGTATGTGGTTTATGATTTTTAAGAAGTTAAATCAGATAGAATATGTCATGTATTCAAACACAGATACAAAGAGGATGAATACCATTTGTACTTGTGTGTTATGCTTATGGTAATCTCAGGAGTTTGTATATACCCCCTAAATACTACTTATATCCAACATAACATAAATTTAACTTAGTGATGTCTTCAAAATATCCAGAAACTATTAACAATCTTTTTATATAAGGCAAGACAAATAAGACAATCATCTGGGTGTATATCAATGTACCAATGTATATATGCTGCTACTCTCTCAAGCAATGATGTAACTGTAGAATGGGCCTATGGCCTCCACTACTTCATAAAAAAAGACTGAATTGAAAAAAACCAATTTCATCTCAAATCAGTTATGTTTCAGTTATATAGGGCCATGAACTTCAGAAATTTTCGATATTTTTATCCTCTATGTCAATATATACAACCACTTACATCTGACAATACTGCGGTTGTTGATCTCTGTTGCTTGAGGTAGTATTGCCCATGAAGGATGCATTTCTGAAACAATGGATTGTTACATATATTGTACCAGTCACATAGGTCAGTTGTAGGAATGAATTATCTCCCATTGCTGGTTTAAACGGTTGATAACGCCATTCGACAATGGCAACATGACTTGCCGCGAAAGGAAATGTGATGGATGGTGCGGCCACCCTTGGGAAAAGGACGTGCAACTTCAAAGGATAAGTACAACAGCAGATGGCAGTTTTATGACGTTATGGTATTATATAGGTAATACCTCCTGGAAGTGTCATGTATATAACGTGACTTCATTTTCATTCATTTGCACAGTTGAATATATAGATGACTGAAGTGTTCAGACATTTCGGCAAAGATATAAGTAAACATAAGTTATAATATTCGTTCAGTCTTGACACTGATGATTCGTATGTTAGGAAACATATCAGTAACATTCATTGTGCAAATATTGAACGATTCTAGTCAATACCTCCACATACAAAGGTTTTTTGCAACGACAAGACGCTTCCAATGAGCCAGACAAAAATTAATTGAAACGAATATGATAATAATATTGAACATCAGTAAATTAACGTTTACATACAATGATTCTGTGGAAACTAGAATATGTTCCCGGAGCAGATACCTTTAGGTGTGATGTCAATTTTGGAGAAACCCGAACAGATGTATTTTGCACCAATGGGCATTAGTGTCAATAGAACCTTGCTGGTCACAGTTCATTCCAGATAATGTAATGTGTACACCAAGCATGTTATGAATATGTTTGTGGTAATAAAAAAATATCTACCATGACATTGAAGGCGGATTGATTGTGACTGGTTAAAATGAGGTATCCTTTTCCCTATTGATACTTCATTTAAATTTTAAAGCCTTTATACATAAAAACTTTGCGAATGTAAACAATGATCTATTATTGACAACATCGAACAATTGCTGTCATGAACCCATTAGAATATTGATTTCGTTTGATATTAGAACAACAGCTTATCACTAACCCACACTAACTACTGTATCAGGGCAACATGATAATCGATCAGAAATATGAGCAGTCTAGCCTGCATGTGCGCTACCAGCTGGTGCCAGCCCACAGCTCAGTCCCCTGGTTGCAGCCACCCTACCTGAGCTTATTGTATAGTTTGTTTTTATTAAAAGCTGAAATTATTACTTTCAGTATGGAGTGTTTATGAAACTTTGTTTTATGTATCTTAATTGTTGCAATGTAATAAATTGATAGTTTACACCGAACACCTGTTGTATATTAAGAGTAAACTTCAAATTCTGCAATGGTCATATCATCTTCAGCGGTTAAATCACACCATCTAGAAAATGCTGAGCAAATAAATGAGGCTGAAGGCTCGACATGGTTAACTGATTGCTAATACATCTGTTTTATTCGATAATCGAAACTGGTTATTCTTTGGCGTTGACGTTTTATGCTGACATATACATGATACACGGGAATGTATTGTGATCATCATGATCATTCACATGCACGTACATGCATGTTTTATGTCCTACCTTTAAGGAAGTTGTCCTTGTCCTCCTGTGATCTGAGCTGTGTGATGTCAGTCTCCCTCAGGTGTCCCACAGTAGACATCAGCTCATTTATCTTCTCCACCTGACTGCCATAGTCTACAAATCCATAGTAGGAACCACGTTGTTCTTTCAATAATGATGCATAGTCATCAAGCTTACCAATGAAATGTTTCAGATTTTGGGTGTTATTCTTAAAATCGGTCTCCATCAAACGAACTATATCATCAGCAGTATTCCTCTTTTGGAGAAGAGTTGTTTGTCGGTTGGCTATTTGTGTGCGAATTTCCTCTAACCTTTTCGTCTTTTGCTTTTCTAACTGGTCAAATAACTGTTTTGAAATAAGTGTGAATGCATTGTTTACTTCAGTCTCCAACGATTTCCCTTCTAATTCTATCTTTTGTTTGTCCTGTTTATAGTCTTGAACACATTGTAAGTACATGTATTTCTCATCCCTTGCTGTTCGCACCGTGTCCTCCATGTCCTGGTCTCCCACCTAAAGACACATGGAATTTCATTTTTACGTCTTAAGGTCAGATGTATAATCATTGATGTAGCAAAATATAATCTGGCAGTAGGGGCGTTATAGTTAAAAGTGATGTGGGTCAACAGAAGGCATATTTGCGAGAGAAATATCTCCTGCTTCATTATATGTATTGACACCTCAATTAAGTTTTCATTTCTGAACAAACACAATCTGGTTATGAGCCAAGATATCATTCTGATTTGACATTCATTTGTTAAACTGTTAGACTCCATATGTCGACAAGTAAGGAGGCAACACACCGTTGACAAACGTTGTACACAACAATCATCATTTACAACTACAAATAAGCTGACCCGTGAAAATCCGGGGTAGAATAGGTCTTGGAATAGGAACCCGTGCTTGCTGTAAAAGGCGACCATGCTTGTCGTAAGAGGCGACTAACGGGATCGGGTGGTCAGGTTCGCTGACTTGGTTGATGCATGTCATCGTATCCCAATTGCGTGGAGCGATGCTTATGATGTCAATCACTGGATTGTCTGGTCCAGACTCGATTATTTACACAGACCGCCGTCATATACAGTAAACTACGGTTATAACGAACTCAAAGGGACTACTATTTTTAGTTCGTTATATCCGTAGTTCGTTATAAGCATATTTACAGTATAGCTACAGCAAATAGTCAGGACTAAAAAGTAAGTTCGTTATATCCGTCAGTTCGTTATAAGCGTGTTCGTTATAACCGTAGTTTACTGTAACTGGAATATTGCTGAGTGCGGTGTTAAATAACAAATAAACAAACAAAACAAATAAGCTATTAGGAAAACAGATACACTCACCATTCTACCATTCCTAAATTACATGTACATATGTACGCCATATCGTTTGTTTGCATATTACTCAACACATTATATCAGTATTGATAGTATTACATTTCACTTACCCGGGCTCCAAGCGTTGATATTTCTGAAATATCAATTTATGTTGTCATGGATATATAGGAAACTTGTGCCCATCCCTGTCTTTAATTGAATCATTTATTAATAAATAGTTTTACGCCACGTTTAGCAATATTCTATGAATATCATGGTCGTAAGAGGCGACTAACGAGATCGGGTGGGCAGGCTCGCTGACTTGGTTGATGCATTTCGTCGTATCCCATTTGCGTGGATCGATACTCATGATATCAATCACTGAATTGTCTTGTCCAGACTCGATTATATACAGACCGCCGTCTGATAGGTATAGTGCTTCGTGCTGCGTTCAAAAACAAACAAAACATTTGTATTTATCACTGCAAGGAAATATTTTACCTGTCCTCCTGATTGCATCCACGAGCCTCCCCCTCCATCTCTGGGACTGACGCACATCAATGTAAGTCAATCTCTTCACAGCTGTTGGAATATTGCAAGGTTTCATCAAGACTGGTATGATGTTTTCTCGCTTGTCCTCAACAGACATGTTGACCATTATGTTCATCTCAAATTCACACCACTCACTCGTTACGAAAGCAGGAGTCATGATAAGCACACATTTCCATGACTTGGCAATAAATTCCTCTATATTTTTCACCACTGTCTTTCCTGCATGAAACTCTCTCCTGTGGTCCACACATTTTATTCCAATCTCAGGAGACTCCAGGTACTTGATCAGCTCATCCACAAACTCCTCGTCGGCGATGTTGAAACAAAGGAATACATGGTATTCCTTACCTTGAGGAAGAATGGTGGAAGGTCCAGAAGTAGGGTCCATGTCAAATTGTGTTGTTTCTTTCATTCAGGGTCACAATCGGGGAGCTGAAAAACAGGTTTTAAAGCGTGCCTTTATCTGTATCAATCTTTGCTGTAAAAGTGGAATAATAGAACATGTACAATACTATAACAATTAACAATGCGAAATTAAATCAATTAGAGCAAATAGTTACATTGATGCTTCATTTTTCCATGCCATATAATGGCACCAACACCTTTAAGACTCTAGTACCACATTAGTATGGAATCATCATCCATACAAGAAGCTATACCCCTCCCTGGACTCTGGGAATAATAGTATTATTATGTTTTCACCAGCAACGTAAAATCCACTAGAGAAAATGGGAAGGTGGGAAAATCTAGGGATAGAATTAATGTACTGACAGAATAGAGTAGAATATAGAGATAATATGCATAAATTGAAAGAATAGAGTGGAATATAGAGATATAATGCATACACTGACAGAAAAGAGAGGAATATGGGGATAAAATACATGCTGTTACAGAATAGACTGGAATACAGGAATAGAAAACACGTACTGACAGAATAGAGTGGAATATAGGGTTAAAATAGATGTACTGACAGAATAGATAGGAATATAAAGATAAAATGCATAAGCTGACAGAATAGAGAGGAATATAGAGATAAAATGCATGCAGTGACATAATAGAGCGGAATATAGGGATAAATACATGTGCTGACGTAATAAAGTGGAATATAGGGACAGAAACCATGTACTGACAGAATAGAGTGGAATATAGGGATAAAATACATGTGCTGACGAAATAAAGTGGAATGTAGGGACAGAAACCATGTACTGACAGAATAGAGTGAATTATTAAGATAAAATACATGTACTGACAGAATAGAGAGGAATATAGAGATAAAACGAATAAACTGACAGAATATAGTTTAATAAAGGGATAAAATAAACGTACTGACAGAATAGAGGGTAATAAAGAGATAAAATACATGTACTGACAGAATAGAGTGGAATGCATGTTGTGACAGAACAGAGTGGGCTATAGATATTTAAAAAAAAAACCGTACTGACAGAATAGAGTGGAATAAAGGGATAAAATACATGTGCTGACGAAATAAAGTGGAATATAGGGACAGAAACCATGTACTGACAGAATAGCGTGAATTATAAAGATAAAATACATGTACTGACAGAATAGAGAGGAATATAGAGATAAAATACATGTGCTGACGAAATAAAGTGAAATATAGGGATAGAAAACATGCATTGACAGAATAAAGTGGAATATAAGAAAAAATACATGTACTGACAGAATAGAGTGGAATATAGAGATAAAATGCATAAACTGAAAGAATAGAGTGGAATATAGGGATAAAATGCATAAACTGACAGAATTGAGTGGAATATAGGGATAAAGTACATGTACTGGCAGAATAGAGTGGAAAATAGGGATAAAAGATATGATGTGACAGAATAGAGTGGAATATAGGGATAGAACACACGTACTGACAGAATAGAGTGGAATATAGGGATAAAATACATGTGTTGACAGAATAGAGTGGAAAATAGAGATAAAATACATGCTGCGACAGAATAGAGTGGAATATAGGGATAAAATACATGTGTTGACAGAATAGAGTGGAAAATAGAGATAAAATACATGCTGCGACAGAATAGAGTGGAATATAGGGATAAAATACATGTGTTGACAGAATAGAATGGAAAATAGAGATAAAATACATGCTGCGACAGAATAGAGTGGAATATACGGATAGAAAAGACGTACTGACATAATAGAGTGGAATATACGGATAGAAAAGACGCACTGACATAATAGAGTGGAATATACGGATAAAATACATGTGCTGACGAAATAAAGTGGAATATAGGGACAGAAACCATGTACTGACAGAATAGAGTGAATTATAAAGATAAAATACATGTACTGACAGAATAGAGAGGAATATAGAGATAAAATGAATAAACTGACAGAATAGTGTGGAATATGGAGATATAATGCATAAACTGACAGAATATAGTTTAATATAGGGATAAAATAAACGTACTGGCAGAATAGAGGGTAATAAAGAGATACAATACATGAACTGACAGAATAGAGTGGAATGCATGTTGTGACAGAACAGAGTGGGCTATAGAATATAGGGATAAAATGCATAAACTGACAGAAAAGAGTGAATTATAAAGATAAAATACATGTACTGACAGAATAGAGAGAAATATAGAGATAAAATACATGTGCTGACGAAATAAAGTGGAATATAGGGACAGAAACCATGTACTGACAGAATAGAGTGAATTATAAAGATAAAATACATGTACTGACAGAATAGAGAGGAATATAGAGATAAAATGTATAAACGGACAGAATAGTGTGGAATATGGAGATATAATGCATAAACTGACAGAATATAGTTTAATACAGGGATAAAATAAACGTACTGACAGAATAGAGGGTAATAAAGAGATACAATACTTGTACTGACAGAATAGAGTGGAATGCATGTTGTGACAGAACAGAGTCGGCTATGGATATTAAAAAAAAACTGTACTGACAGAATAGAGTGGAATATAGGGATAAAATACATGTGCTGACGAAATAAAGTGGAATATAGGGACAGAAACCATGTACTGACAGAATAGAGTGAATTATAAAGATAAAATACATGTACTGACAGAGTAGAGAGGAATATAGAGATAAAATACATGTGCTGACGAAATAAAGTGAAATATAGGGATAGAAAACATGCATTGACAGAATAAAGTGGAATATAAGAAAAAATACATGTACTGACAGAATAGAGTGGAATATAGAGATAAAATACATGCAGTGACAGAATAGAGTGGAATATAGGGATAGAACACACGTACTGACAGTATAGAGTGGAATATAGGGATAAAATACATGTACTGACAGAATAGAGTGGAATATAGGGATAAAATACATGTGTTGACAGAATAGAGTGGAAAATAGAGATTAAATACATGCTGCGATAGAATAGAGTGGAATATACGGATAGAAAAGACGTACTGACATAATAGAGTGAAATATAGGGATAAATTACATGTACTGACAGAACAGAGTGGAATATAGGGACAGAAACCATGTACTGACAGAATAGAGTGAATTATAAAGAAAAATACATGTACTGACAGAATAGAGTGGAATATAGGGATAAAATACATGTACTGACAGAATAGAGTAGAATAAAGAGATAAAATACATGCAGTGACAGAATAGAGTTGAATATAGGGATAGAACACACGTACTGACAGTATAGAGTGGAATATAGGGATAAAATACATGCAGTGACAGAATAGAGTGGAATATAGGGATAGAACACACGTACTGACAGAATAGAGTGGAATATAGGGATAAAATACATGCAGTGACAGAATAGAGTTGAATATAGGGATAGAACACACGTACTGACAGAATAGAGTGGAATATAGAGATAAAATACATGCAGTGACAGAATAGAGTGGAATATAGGGATAGAACACACGTACTGACAGTATAGAGTGGAATATAGGGATAAAATACATGTACTGACAGAGTAGAGTGGAATATAGGGATAAAATACATGTGTTGACAGAATAGAGTGGAAAATAGAGATTAAATACATGCTGCGATAGAATAGAGTGGAATATACGGATAGAAAAGACGTACTGACATAATAGAGTGAAATATAGGGATAAATTACATGTACTGACAGAACAGAGTGGAATATAGGGACAGAAACCATGTACTGACAGAATAGAGTGAATTATAAAGAAAAATACATGTACTGACAGAATAGAGTGGAATATAGGGATAAAATACATGTACTGACAGAATAGAGTAGAATAAAGAGATAAAATACATGCAGTGACAGAATAGAGTTGAATATAGGGATAGAACACACGTACTGACAGTATAGAGTGGAATATAGGGATAAAATACATGCAGTGACAGAATAGAGTTGAATATAGGGATAGAACACACGTACTGACAGTATAGAGTGGAATATAACGATAAAATACATGCAGTGACATAATAGAGCGGAATAAAGGGATTCGATCCATGTTCTGACAAAATAAAGTGAGTGAGTGAATATGGTTTTACGCCGCTTTTAGCAATATTCCAGCAATATCACAGCGGGGGACACCAGAAATGGGCTTCACACATTGTACCCATGTCGGGAATCGAACCCGGGTCTTCGGCGTGACGAGCGAACGCTTTAACCACAAGGCTACCCGACCGCCCCGACATAATAAAGTGAAATATAGGGATAGAAAACATGTACTAACAGAATAGAGTGAAATATAGGGATAAAACGCACGTTCTGACATAATAGAGTGAAATATAGGGATAAAGTGCATGTTCTGACATAATAAAGTGGAATATAGGGACAGAAAACATGTACTGACAGAATAGAGAGGAATATAGAGATAAAATACATGCAGTGACATAATAGAGCGGAATATAGGGATAAAATACATGTTGTGACATAATAAAGTGGAATATAGGGATAGAAAACATGTACTGACAGAATAGAGTGGAATATAGAGATAGAAAACAAATTCCGACAGAATAGAGCGGAATATGGGGATAAAATACATGCAGTGACATAATAGATAGAGGATCTTACCCGAGTGTCTTTTGGTGTCAAATATATCAATACGAGTTGATAAAAGTGGAAAAAATTCCGAGGCTTGCCGAGGATTTTTGACACTTTTATCAACGAGTGTTATCAACGCTACTTGTTATTGAACGTGAGCGATTGTTTATGTACTCTGCCAACTTTGGGGGGGCTCTGACGTCATTCTAGGTCGCGGTATGATTGTCATTTTCAGTGTTGATTATGTTGATATATTGATCTTCTCAATACACTTTACTTCATGCATGTATGTTTTGTTGTTTTTGAGCAAGAGTGATTTCAAACTCTGGTAAAGTTATTTTGGACGTCAGTTTATAAGCATGAACAATATCTAATGAGAGGTGTTGTTATTTTCGATGTTTTAGTTGTTCCTGTTTCTTGATTTTCACAACAATCACAGAGA